CTATTAAGACCCCCAGGGTAGGAGCCAGCACTACTTCCCTTGAAAGTTGGTTCCAGATCCTAGCCACCCTAACTGTGAAGTAGTTCTTACGGTATTCTGTTTCCGGTTACAGGTTTCAGGCTTGCAGCCTTCCTTGCTGTCTGGCCCTTTAAAACTACAGGCCAAATGTCTGGTCCTTTCTCTACGGATCCTGGAAGAGGTGCTTGTCTGTCACCTTACCAGCCTCCCCTCTCCCCAGCCTTTTACTTCCTGTGGCCAGACAATTATCCATATTGGCTGGCCAGTCTTCCTAAGCAGGCTTGCAATCACCTTGCTTAGCTTCTGAAGCTTGCTGCCTATCTCACCTCCTCCAGGGCAGGCGTGCTTCCCACCACACACCTGTCAAACCTTTTTTTACTATTAACACTCCAGTGAAATTACTCTCAGTATCTAACCATTTCTTCCTAGCCAAAGTTCAGCACTAATAACTACATCCTCATCTCCCTAGATTGTCTCAGCCTTTGACATGCTCTTCTGGAAATGTCATCCTCCCTAGGCTTCTACGACCTCTCCTAGGTCTCCTACTGCTCTAATTATTTTTAGACTGATCCCTCTGCATCTCCATGTGGCAGGAAGCCACCTTTGTTTCTCCCCAAAATCTCTGTGCTGTGACAATTTGATTGGGACGGCCCCAGCAGAGGCGCCACACCTTTACCCTATCTCTTTAGGTAACCTGAACTGGCTACAGTCCTGAGGGAGGGGGGGAAAACTGCTCCCTCTGCCTACATGACTGGTATCAGCTACCAGGGTGAGGGGCATCTACCTCGTGGGCTAGAGTCTGCCCGGCAACTAGTGATGCATTTCAAACTGGTTGGCCAACAGCCAACCAGAGCTGGCCTCCACTGGACCAGGTGAATGAGGTCACGGGGCCTATATAAGTTAAGACTACCCAGGAGGAGGGGGCAGCAGCAGCCATGCAGGGGACTTGGACTTAGAGAGGAGCTTTACCATCTGAAACTGGCTCTCTCCTCCATAACTCATGAGCGAGGAATGGCCTGCCTCCAGAGGGAATCTCCAACAGCCTCGGGATGATGCTTGTGAGTAAGCTACTCGAGATCTGGTTAGATACATAGCTGGCAGTAACTCAGATGCATGATCAAAAGGCTTCCTCAGCCAGACTGTTTTGCTCGATGGGATTTCTATGATATTGCTCTATCTTGTACCCTATTTTCACCCTACCCCTGTAATCAATACAGTTCTCCTTTGTGACTGGTGTAGGAGACTTATTGAAGGGTGGGTCTAAATTATGCCTAAGAGGCCCCTTAGGTCTGCGGACTAAGGGAGACTTTCCTTTTTGGCCCCCGATTTGGGACCAAATGGGGGCCAAGTGCCTGCACTGGGTCAAGTACCCGTAGGACTATTAGGCCTGTGTTTTCCTGAGGACACAGGGCCGAGAGAGTCCCTTCTTGGGGTGGTGGCAGCTTACGCTACCCCCAGGCTAGCGAGTGTGCTCCACGAAGGGGGTCAGCTGGACGCGAGGTGCCCCCAGGGAGGCACTTGGAGCCTGGAAGGCGGTCGGGCGCAGAGAGGTAGGTGGTGCAACGCAGGAGCGCCCCCTACTAGCCTGCCACACTCCACACCCTGCCTGTCACTCAAGTCCATTCCCTGGGAGCCATCTTCAAAATAAATATCCCCCTCCTGGATCCTCACGGTCATGCTGTATACACACATCTAAATCTTGCAGATTCTTTCTGCTCGGCATCTCAAAAAACATGGTCTTTCCGATGGACCCATGCAGAAGAAGCTGTGCCCAGGCTCTCATCTTGCATCTCATCCTCCTGTTCAACTAATACAGTCTCGTACCACTTAAAACCATGCTGCTGAAGAAATCATTTTTCTAGCTTGTCACTTTGACTATATAAGACCATCATTTTGCAACCCTCTACTGGTCCAGCCTTCTCAGTCACATTACACAAGCCGCATATCTTTTTTTTTCCAGACAACCCCTACCCAACCCAACCCACCATCTCTCACTCATCAAGAGTGTTGCTCCCAGCTCTGAGCAACCCACAATGGCACCCTCCATCGCCCTCTTCTTACATTTTAAAATGGGAACCATTTTGCTTTGTCCTCTCCTGCCCCTCACCCTTAGAAGGAGCAGCTCTGCAGAAACATATGGAAAAAAAAACAAAACAAAAAAACGCTAAACCTTCCCTGGGATTATTCTTTGCCAGGAGGCCTACCAACAACTTGACAACAGTTAGTCTGCCAGTGTGCTATGGCTAGTGGGTATCAGACTGAATAATATTGTCTCAGTTTCCTTGAACACCCATCTGTCTGTATCCATCTGCTGCCTCCTATAACACAATCTAAGTATAAGACAGAATTAAGAAGAGGAGTATGCTGGACACCTTTCCCTCAATATGCCATATTCTGACAAATATACAACATTCACTGAAACCCCAAGTGTGTATTCAAGTAACAATTCTTCACATGTAAAAGGTCCATTACTTTTTCTCCTGAAGAAGGTTATCAATTACAGTTCAAAATATTCAAATTCAACATAGAAAAAGTGTCTCTCACACACAAATGTTTCAAAAAGAAAAATACAGTTGATAATCTCTTCCACATAGCAACCTAAAATATCAGCATATTGACAGCAGAAAATGAAACATGCATGATAAGGTAGTTACAGAGAAAGACCATATATTTCTGCCATAAGTTCATTTTTCTTCCTTTCATCTTATGCTCAGTGCATGCCAACCCACGTAAATAAAAAATATAGTCTAGCATAACATTTAGCTCTAGATAGCCTAATATATTCAAGTTTTTTTACCCCCTACCAATATTCAACCTGAATTCAGATTGATAAGAATAAGTTATGCCTTGAGGTATTGGCAAAAGTCAGTAAAGTGACCAAAAAAACCAAAACAAAACAAAAAAAAAAAACAAAACCCACCAATATACTAAAGCATAATTAATAATAAACCATCAGCTGGCAGATACAGTAACCAAAAGGTTTGTGATAGATAGATAGAGAAAGGCACTGACAATATCCTTCCCTACATTAGTCATCCAGGGTCAGTTGCAAGTCATAATGCTGCCTAGTCATACAAATAAAATCCTTCACTTAAACATTGGCAAAGTTTTCCATTTAAAAAGTATTTCCCCATATAATCACCGCACTAACTCTCCCATAGGCTTCAGACCAAGTCAATAAAGCCTGTTTTCAAACTTGAGCCACAAGTCTATTATTAAGGCCGAATCCCAATTACCTAACTTCAGCAAGACAGCACAGGACAAGTAAGACTAGGCCCTTAAGGTGAAAGTTATATAGCGATTATACGATAGCTCAAAACTTACATTGAATAACACTACCATTTACACTTTCGAAACCATTAAAAGAAATCTGCCTAGCATTTGGCTGTTCCAAAAATAGATATTAGCCTTCTCCAGAAATCTGTAAAACTCCATAATGAGAAATTAACTGCATTTCTCCCTGAGAAAAGTGCATTAGCTAAACTTGAAATCAACAGACACCCGCCAAGTCATTTGTTTTTACACAAAATGCTATTGCTAAATATCTTAGCTGAAAGATTGAGGACAGAAAGCTCATTAAGACCCTTATGTTCATATGCATAGCATGCAATTATTGCAAAAAAAAAGTAAGTAGTATATACATAGTCAGCCTATGAGTATACACTGCACATTCAACTGTCATTAAACAATGTACATACCAGCTTACTACTTCTGCCTTAAGGCCTGTCTATATGTGGAAGAAACAAGCTGGGTTCCAGTTTAAGGCCCAGCCCGTATTCCATGTTAACTCCCCATTTAGGCATTTCTACAATGACATCAATGTCTCTATGCTGCGAGTCCATGCAGGACAGCTATAGTGCAATGATCATTTGGGGCTCTTCTAAAGGGGCCTTAGATCTTGAGGCCTAACCTTGCTATCTCCCGTCCTGTAGGAATCCCTTCACACTCCGATTTTGATTTGAGGGGAACATCGTATCTTGGCCAAAGGGCTAAAACACCACTGGGGATTAGGAGTAATTTTTGCCTTGACTGACAGCTATTTGATTTCAATGTTTTCACACAGACTTAGGCCAACTCTCCCCTACAGTCTTGAAAAGGATACGATGAGTCTTCTTTGCATTTACAGTATGGCCTCTTGACCAAACACCGGGAACACCCAGATCTATGTCTCACTTCCTAGTATGTGAGCATTATTCCCAATTAACTCCACACAACTGCTAAGGGCAAACAAAAAATTTCCACGGGGACAAGGGCACATGGGGAGTTACTATGGAGCCAGTAACATGTTATATGGGCAGTTACCACCGAGTCTCACCCACTTTCACCTTGTATGCCCAGGCCCCTAAATCCAGACAGCCCTCTAGTGTAAATGAGAATTTGACAACAGAAGAAAAAAAGTTATCAATGAACTCAGCAACAATTTTTCAGAGCAAATCATTTTTTAATCATTTCGGGCTTTACAAAATTATTACACTTCCACATAAAACAGGGCATACCTAAAGAAACCCCATGACAATAACAACGTAAAGTTTAGCCTATTGCATGAACTGGTGGGAAACAGATGCAAGAAAGGGCACAGTCTATGCAACAGGAATATCTAAAAGGGTCTGTGGCATGATCACAAAATCCAGACTTAAGATAAAAAAAGATATTCTTCTGCGACTTACCAGAATTTCTCTTTGACACCAGCTTCCAATTTGTGCTGACTACAGTACAGATCACAAGAACCAAGAGAATGGGAGGCTTCATCTTTCACTCTCTTTGACAGCTGAAATGCAAACATAGTACGAAGTCTGAATCACAGCTCTTTGCTACAACAAAGCAGCAGCTACAGCTGAACATTTCTCAAAGAACCATTACAGGGCAGGGGCTTACACTAGTGACTTCTGGGTTTATTTTTATGCAGAGGTAAGAAAACATAATTGTTCAAAGTAACTGTCTATGAATAACTGATCTCCAAATACCAGACAAAAGTTTTGAAATAACACTTAGGACATTTATCACTTTGCTATAAAACTGAGTTAGACTGCGTGTGCACTGTTTCCAAAATAAAGTTGTGATAGATTTTGTCTGTTCCAGCCAAGAGAATCCGATAGCCAAAGATGAATCTTCTCTCATACCGGGATAGAGAGCCTTTTAAACTCTCTTGATTTTCCACATTATATGGCAAAAGATAAGGGCAATTATTCACATAATTCCTCTTAGAAATCTTATTTCCCCTCTGGTTACATTACGAGAGATACTGCAATGAATTAATGCTATTCCAACGATTTCACCTATAAAATGAAGCAGAGGCAAGTGAATGAAATGCAGAAGTCAATGAATGTGAGTCTCTGGGTTCTAATATAAAAAAGATAGAAATTAGTCTCTCTGGTGACTTTTTACAGTCTTCTTTGTATTACTGACTCTAGAAAGGAAAAGGAGGCTAGTCTGAAATTGCAGTTGGAATGCAGTGCAGTGACTGAACCAAATTCTGCTTTTATTTAAGAGTACAAAGTCACTCGCAAAAAAGGTAATGGAGCAGAATTTACCTCTGCCATGGTTATAAAAACAGGTCTATTAGATCCCAACCCAGCAAGAGCCCTTAAAAAGTCTGCTTAACTATAAGCACCTGAGCAGTCTTGTAGGAACTCAAGGGGCCTAACGTGCATGGCTGAAGTCATGCTTGTTTAAGTGCTTTGATGGAGCGAGACCCTAGGAACTCATAATTGTAGCAAAGCTTCCTGTTGGCTCCTGCAGGCCTTAAACCAGGGCCTTTATTCTCACATAACAGGGGTGGGGTATTTTTGATCATCTAAATCAATAAGTAGAAACTAGGGATTAAAGGAACACTGAACCTTTTACAGCCTTCTTTTCAAAAAAAATTTTTTTTTTTTTTTTTTTAAGGAAAAGAAAAGGAAAATATGCAAAACGGCCTACACAAACAGTCAAGCTACAGACGAAGGAAATCAATCTTTCCCTTAAGTTCACACACCACAAGTACAATGTTTATCTGGATAGTCCCCTATGGTTTGAACCACCCACAGCAGGGGACCAGCAGAGTTACTGTGCGAGGCTGGGCACATTCATTTTAAATGATAAAGTAGCAAGGCCTGCGATTCCCTGGAAATCATACATTTTAATTTGAGTTTATTACATTATATCTTTTCCCCTTGTAATTTTACAACCAGCCTACTGTTGTGTGAAAAAAATGTAAGGGACCATGTATAATCACTTACATGATGGCAATTAAGCTGCTATTCAATTATTTCAAAATTACCACTTACACTTTAAAATCCCTCCCTCCCTACTGTACCACAGCTATAAATATGCAGTGCTCCTTTCTCCCGAATTCTATATTCCCTTGAGCACTTTATGCCTATTGATTCCCCAGGGTTACAGTGTTAGAGAACCAAAAGGATACATGGAGAATTATAAGTGAAGGCTGTCTGACAATGGGTAATGAAGGAATTAGTATTCATTTTTCCTTAACCTCTCCTTGGAGTGCCAAATCCTGATACAAGTAGGGCCATCTTGACAAGAGAGTTTTTTTTGTTTTTTTTTTTTTTTTTTAAAGAAAAAGTAATTGAACTAAATCTTTTGACAGATAATTGTAATGATGATGTTATGCTAGAATGATTTTCGAGTGTAGCTTTGCAAATTACTTTCCCCACTTTACTTGTTCTCTCCAATTCTTTCCGTAGAGGTAGGTAACTCAGGTCCCTTTTTTGTGCTGATTTTTTTTCTCCTTAAACTAACCATGCTGCAGCAAATAGCTTATTAAAACCAAAGCAAATTCCACTTAATGGCACATTATTCATGCTAGAGAAACTGGGCAAAACCCTGGCCTTAGTGAAGTCAGGAGAAGCTTTGCCGATTGCTTCAGCTGGAAAGGTTTTCAGCCATGATAGATGTTTGCTAATCAATCTTTCTACCCAAGAATAATGAGGGAAGATTTCTGTAGGTCATTCCTGTGACCCCTTCATGAGCAAGTAGCACTTTCAAGAATGCCAATGCAAAATGCACAAGACACCAGTGAATTTCCTGATGGTACCATCCCCAAAAATAGTGATTTCAGTGGCAATGTACCAGAAGGTCAAAATGGTTGAAAAGAAAGGTGGGTGGGCAAACTCCATCCATTCTTTAATGTGTGGAGAATAAAAGGGAGAGGGGAGAGGGAAAGAGAACAAAACTGTATATGTCTGGATGATAAAATTAAATTTTCCCTCCATCCCATACAGACTTGCTACTATCTGAGTTCTTCGGAATGAAAATGTACAACCAAAGTCTAAACACCCAACACTTAAGGCCAAATGTTTCCAAAAGAGTACCCCATTTAAGCTTCTTGGATGCTCCTTTTTGTCTGCAAGTCAGCCATTTTATGAAGAACCACATTTAAGGAGGAGTGCAAGATGCCTGGAAGGAAACCAAATCTTAGCGCAAAACTCAGAAACGAATACTTTAGATCATGCCTTGCTCTAGCTATGATCTGTTCACATACAAAATGTTCTTTAAGCTGAGGCTGTCATGCTGACGGGAGAAGCTACAGTGTGTTGGAAGGTGGTAGCACTAAGATTTGAAGTTGGAAGCTTAAGTTTCACTTAAAGCAAGTGTTCAACCTCTTTGTGAGATACTATTATAATAATTGATAAGGCAATATGTTACCTACAGTGCACTAATCTCCCTTGCAGTATAATTCAAAACCTTAATTGCAACCTTGGCAACATTAGCAAATATGTAGACCTGAGGTGTATAGAGATGCACTAAGATAACCTGAGCAGGCTATTTTTACCTGTCCTTTGGGGGCATAACTCAGTTCCTTGTGGTGATGGAGAGTTCATTGCTGTCAGCAGAAACCTGTTGCTTCGGCATTAGCTGACAGCAGGGAAGTCCTGTAACTTGGTCTTTTCCTTTTTAAATATATTTATGGGATAAAAATGCAAAAATCCACCATAAATATTAGATCCTGAGGCTGAATTCCTTCTCTTCTTTCCATGTAAATGTCAGCTATTTCATTGGGGAAATCCTGCCATCTCTGCTTTCCCTTTTTACAGTACGGATCAGTGGCTGACCTTCAATAAAAATAAGTCAAGCCAAATACAGTTGGAATCTCATGTCCCTTCTCTTCTTCCTAATCAGGGTTGACCTGGATAGAAGTAAATTTATCTTCTTCTTATGGGGAAATTATATTGAACTTTAAATTGGCTTGTCACAGATAATATTTCCACAAATTAGCACAGTCCAGTTTAAGATGCGCGTTAACCACCCTGACCTGTCTTCATTTCAGCTTTTTTTTTTTTCCTACTGTGCTTAAGTCTTATCGTTAGAAGGCCCCAAGGGGAAGTCATCCACTATCCACTCCTCTCTTGGTAATCCCAGAGACCGAGAGCCCTTAGAGGCTTCAAAAATGCCAGGTGGACTGAGTTTCCCAGAAGGGGCATCATCCTGCTGTTGCAATGGCCATCAGCAGCCCCGTGGCACATTGCAGAGGATGTTTGCTTTGTTCTCAGGTGCTTTACAGCTGTGGTGCATACAGCAGATGTCCTTGCAGCTTCTTCTGGGCAGATGTTTGCACATGCTTGTCTGCACTTGCAAAGGACTGGGTTTGAGGACACAAGGAGGTGCCCTCCAGTCCTACGTTGAGGTCTCTGCCAGTGTCTGCTGGGCTGCAAGAGGAAACAACCAACTGGGCAAAGCTTTGTTACTGTCGCATAACAGCTCTGAACATTTTAACCCAGACACCACCAAGGTCCTATATAAATGGGGCAAGTTGGATTGGTATAAGAACAGCAGTCTAGCTCAAGATTCCTGGCATGATTCCTACCATTCCTAGAATGAATGCAAAGTTTTGCTTTGGACCAGTACAGAAAAACCCATTCCCCTTCCACCCCAGCCAAAAGCAGCAAGAGTACAATTTGCCCAGTAGAAGCAGGTCTGCCACAGAGGCTAGGATTACACCTGTTCACCACTGGCCCTGCACTCATGGCTAGGGCAGACTAGGGCAACAAAAAATAATGCCATTATGGGCACAGCCCAAAGTTTTACACTGATAAAGCACTGGTATCCTGAGCAGATTGCAAAAGCACAAGCAAGCCTAAATAGATGTGATGGGGCACAGCTGAACAGCAGAGCTAAGCCAAGCAAAGTGAGGGCCAGCTGCTACATTTTGGTGAAAAGGACACAGCTCAGCTTCCTGCCTGCCCCTAGCAGGTGTTTCACCTGATGCGGTTACAGATAGTAATAAGACAGAGGAGGGTTTCTGGGCAGGGACCCTCAAGGAGCAAAGGCAGCTATACTTACACCTCACGGGGCAGACCAAGCAGTACTTCTCCAGGGCTGGAGATGGACTTGGCCTAACTCAAGACTCTGCCAACCACAGACAACAGTGAAGGGGACACAGGGGAGGTGAAAAGCAGTTTTACAAGAACATGCGAGAAGATGACTGTATCTATGACAACTGCCAGGCCAACCCCAGGGCTGGGAGCCCTTTCTGTGTACTCGCATGCAAGCATCATTTGTATTTTCTGGCTCTTCTCAAGATTATGCCCCTTGCCTCCCAAGGAACTGTTCTGCATTCGTATAGAGCTTGCCTGGCAAGAAAGTACTGCCTACCACCGGTGCCCAGATGAGTACAAAAAAAGGGGAGAAAAAAAAAGTCAGGTTTCTAGTGAAGGCTTGCACCGGTATTAATGGTTGAGTTTTCCAAAGGAACGCCTAGCTAATTGAACCAACTCTGTTGCTGCCAAGTTACGTTTGTGTGAAGAAAGTAAAGGGGAAGCAGGAGGGG